TTTTGCAGCCTCCTTCTTGATCTGCCATTTCAGTTAGAAGTGTAGTCTTTGAACAGGAAAAACTTAGGTGCTTCTGATATAGAAAGATGGGCAAATTGTTATTGGCAGAGGGATATAGGAGGTCTTATAAATTTTGGACCTGCTTTGAAAGGGGGAAAGGAAACTACCATTGCAACAGATTTGTCATTAGGGGGGATACTATGTGTTTTTGTCCTTTTTTAAAATTCCCATTTTTTTACACGTTTTTGTTTAGTTTTGTCTCTGGTTAATTTTTTTTCTTTTGGGTTTTGTACTTTAACCTTTGCAATAAAAAATAAAATAAAATCATGCTTTGTTTTTTAAAGGAGACCTTCGGATGGTATGTTAGGGGTGCAATTTGGAAATGGGCCCAGGGCAAAATGATATTTGATTAATCAAACCCCTTAAACTTCACATTAGATTACTTAAACATTGTTCATCCGATTGTTCCTGTATGTTGGAGAACTCCCCCACCCGCTGGTTATTTTGGTTGCAGGTTTTTGGAGGAAGTCTGCCAGCTTCTCCCACAGACTTCCCACCTACTGGTTTCAGCAAAGAGAGGAAGAGAGGAGCTGTTCTAGGAGAGGGGAAACTGAACTAAGAAAACAGGTTAACTTTGGGCAGCAGGGCAAAGCTGTGTTTTTAACACAAACATTGTGGAAGCTATTGTGTGGCATTAGCCACGTCATAGGAGCATGGGGTCTCACGTGGCTAGGATGCTAGGTTGGAGATTAGCAAGCCTTCATTTGGGACCTGAGTGCTGCCATGGGGCAGAGCGAGCTCTTATTTTTTTCCTCCAGTTTCTGCCAGGGACATAATGGGAGCCCCCAACTAGGCATCTCGCCCACCCCTCACCGTAGCTAATCCTTTCAGCCTTGAAGTGCCTCGGTGCTTCTGATACAAGTGCACAAAAACAAAACCGATCACCCTCTTGACGCTTCCAGAATGCCTCAAAGAAGAGATTCAAACCGACAAACCAAAGCATTCAGGGGGGATCCTATGCTGCTTGGGCTCTTTTCCCTGCTGGGTTTCTTCTCCTGCACTTTTTTTTTTAACCTTTCATACCCAACATCTTCATCTCCTAAGGAGGAGCCCCACTCAGAAAATCAAGAGGCCTCAGCTTTTGAGTATGCATGAAAGGCACCGAGATGCTCGTCCTTAGCTTAAGGAGAGGTGAGCAAGTTGGAGACAGAACATCTGAAGAGTGAAAAAATAAAGAGGAAAGGGTACTTAGAACATCCGAGGATCGATGGTACAGCTCAACCCAGTTGCCAGCTGCTTGATCCAGAATCCAACTTCCAGGTAAGAGCCCTCAAGAAACCCTGCGGGAACAAGGAATTCTTTCTGCTTGCCTCCAAGCCTTTTTGAAACTGTCCCTTTTCCAAGCACATATTCCAGTCCTCTGGTCAAAGGGAGGAAAACAAAGGAGAAAATTGCACAGGAAGGCCCATTTTCTACTCACCGTGCAGCCAGCAAGTGGGTTCTTCATTCTGAACTGCCTGCTATTGCAGTAGCATATCCAGTTTGGTCTAAGACTGAGGCTGGGTGTTTCACGGCAAGCAATTAGGTCAGATGAGCAAAGCAAAATACGAAGTAATTAAGAGACTTGCCCAATGGGTGATTGTTATCTAATGTGTTTCCTGATAGACAAGGAAAAATCAGAAGGCTGGAAGCAGTTTGGGGAGTGATTTCTGAGCATTTTTTAAAAATCAGCCTGCAAACAGAGCGCCACTGTAGAATAAAAAGTGATCCCGCCAGGGTAGAGTGAATAAGAGGTTGGGTTAGAACTGACAGCCTTCTCTCGTAATTCAGATCCTCAGTCATAAAACTCAGTAGGTGACTCTGAACCAGTTATGCGTCTGAAACCTTTACCACTTCACTGATGGTAAACTTGAAGCATCTGTACTGGACTGCACACAAGAAAGCCAGAACATCAGTGTAGCAAACACTTCTGTCTAAGAACCAGAAGCAGAACTGAATTATATTGAGTAGGCATCCCCGATCAAAACTTCTACAACTTCTCCCCCAAAATGTTGCAAAACCTCCCTTGATGTGATTCCATAAGCACATGAAGGTTGTTTTAATTAGTGACATTTTCTACTCTTGGTATTTCCCGCCCCCCAAAATTTCTGAAGTAAATGCATGACCCAAGCCCCCCTCAAAAAGAGCTTTCTTTTTGGTGTCCGGCTTCTTAGCTTCTCCTTGGAGCAAGGTAGCTGCTAAAAACATTCAACTCGACTCCCAAATCCTAAGATATATAAAAGCATATAAGGACATTATTCAGTCTGGACCAGAGGTGCTATTCAGCAGGTTCTGATCAGTTCTGGGGAACCGGTAGTGGAAATTTTGAGTAGTTTGGAGAACCGGCAAATCCCACCTCTGACTGGAGATTTTACAGTATCCTTCCCCTGCCACGCCCACCAAGCCACACCCACAGAACCGGTAGTAAAAAAAATTTGAATCCCACCACTGGTCTGGACTCACGAAAAAGGCCATGGGAAGCACCCGAAGAAGAGAAGGATCATAAATCAATACCTGTGAGAAACGAAGATGGCAAAGAACCTGCCGATAAATGTTGGATCGTTATAGCGCCACATGGGCCATTCTTGATGTCCACAAGGAAATGTGTCTTATTCCTTATGGGAAACAGCTGAAGATGGGCATTTCTGCTATTCCCTTCCCAATCTTCCCTCAACACACCTTCCAAGCACATGGAACAATTCAAGGCGTGCCCATCTTCCTTTGCTCGAGAGAAGAGCAAACACAGGCAAGGCACACCTAGGATTAGGCAAGCTGTTTTCATTCAAGGTGTATTAGGAGGGGATTGAAGATATCATAATACTGGCAAACCTGTTAGGTAGCTAGCTAAAAAAGAAGACTAGACTCTCTTAAGGACCATCTATATCTGATAATTTATGCCCATCCTGTATAATCAGGCAGATCAGGCATAATCTAATAATCAGGACCAGGAAACACACTTTGCTCTCATAGCACTTGTCTCTGAACAGCATCCTCTCTGACATCCCTATGGTCCACACCCCGAAGCTGCTTACAAGGTCTTTGAAAACCTGGCTGATTCCCCAGGTTTTGAATTTAGGTGAGTGGCAGGATCATCACTGAATTTTTAAAGTTGCTTTGAATGTTTCTCTTCTAGACAGGTATCATTTTTTCCCCCTTTGCTTTATTGTTCTGACTGTTTTGAACGTTGTACACCGCTCGGAATCTTTATGGAGTTGGGTGGCCTCTTAAATTTGACAAAAGAAATGAACAAGACACATTGGCTCAAGAACAATCATTTAACATTGTATGAACCAGGACAAGTTTGGGCTATTTTATGTGGTTCAAAATTATGATTGAGTGTGATATGTAAACCCAGCCAGTCATACATGCAGCCTGAAACAAACTCCGTTGTGTTGAATAGTGAGAAAAAGAACATAATTTGGTGTTTGCAGAAGCGTAACAGATGCCTGAATCCAAACCGGCTAAACTACTATTCCCGGGCAGTCCAATTTGTACTAAACATATTCAGTACCTGTGGAATATTAAACCAAAGACAAAAATGGAGGAAGGGTGAGGAATGTTGCTTGTATCTCTTGAGGAGGCATGGCTCCCTAGTGCCCCAAGCAGCAGATCTTGTTGGGACAATATGTTTTACTGCAGATCCATCTTGTACATTCTAAGTTTAGTTCTCTTTTAGAGCTGAATACGTGGGGATTTAGGTGAGTGGAGATTGCTCTCCATCCTGGAAAGTGAGATGTAACCCCATTGGGTTGGAAGCAAATATCTCAATGCCATTTAAGAGTATTGGGGTACTCTTAGGTCTCACAGTACCTAACCGTGGTCTCAGGAAAATAAATGGGTTGAGCACAAATCAAAGAACAAACCCCTTTAGGTGCTCTGTCTGACCTATCTTACAATATTTGAAATTATTAAACAAAGAAGTAACAACAAAAATCCATCCTTATCTTTATTTTCAGAAATGTGTCTAGGCATTCTTAGATGACGGTGATGCCTCATTTGGAAGGGATTGAAGGGAAATATATTCTTGAATGTCCTCCTGGGTGCTGGACACAGTGATGGACTTAAGTTACATAAAGGCAGCCTCCATCTGAACATTAGCAAATACTTCCAGTAGGACGAATGGTTGGATAGTCCAACCAATCACCAAAGAAGACAACAGAATCCCCTTTTCTAGATAGGGCCAAGCTGACTCCAACAAACATTTATTGGGATAGTTTTGATTGGGTTTCGACACCAAGCAGGACATTCTATCAAAAACAAAGGATGAAATTTAAGGAAATCTGCGGCATGAGTCTTTAGTGGCTGTTTCTATACATTCTTATAAAGTCTTTAGTGGATTTTTTTATACAGTTAAAAAGATATTGGGAAATGAGAGCAGTCAATTTATTTTTTGCCTTCATGGAATCATTGAATTATTCTTCTAGCAATAATTCCTCTCTCCAAGAAAGCAGTAAGCAATTTGAGGGAATAGTACTCAAGACATCCACAAATTTTGCAAAAGTGATTTTGATCCGAGATTAAAACATGTCCTTAATATTGACAATGGTGCCTGTGGCACTGCCAATACTAAGAAAATACTCTGCTCACTGAAACAATCCTCAGGATTTGCCTCTTGGGATTTGTTTTTTTTTTAATAAACTACAATTTGTGAATATCTATCTCACCAACAGGAGGATCGTCCATTTGGGCAAGTAGAAGTGTCCAGTGATTCCTCAGTTCTCAATCTGTTTCAGAGGCATATTTGCTTTTGGGGACAGGAGGAAACGGGGATGCATCACTTTAGGAAAGTTGTGCTGAGTCAGAAAGTCTTTTCAGGCAGGATATGGCTTGTATACAATGTAAATAGGTACTAATACCAGCAACACTGGAAGTTTTTAAGAAGAGATCGGATAACCATTTGTCTGAAATGGTATAGGGTATCCTGTTTGAGCAGGGGTTAGATTAGAAGAACCCCAAGGTCCCTTCCAACTCTGTCCTGTTCTATTCTATTCTATTCTATAGTCTATTCTATTCTATTCTATAGTCTATTCTATTCTATTCTAAATTCTATTCTTATGAAAAAGAAATTTCCTTACTGAAGTTCTATCAATTTTTATGTGAACTTTGCTTTGCTCAAAATATTTCTATTCTGACTTTCAATCAAGAAACATCAAGATGGTAGGAGCAGCAAGGTCCATGCAGCTTTCTTCCAGCCCTACGCAAAGCTCCTTATTGTGAGTCGTGTATATTCCTGGTGCCTGAGGTCACAGTTTATTGAACATATGCAAATGTTTCTATAGATTACTGGAAGGTAAAAGGGTTGCCTGGGCGATGCTCAATTACAATGTGCTTTTGGCTAATCGTGTTTTATGGCTTGGCATGAAGTGGGAGTCCAGATCTTGTGGTTTATGCAACAAGTAATAGCTTAGTGTGATTTGTGAATCCAACTTCTGATCAATCCGCTTAGAGGACTTCAGCCTAGGTTCAGGCCTTAAGCTTCCCTTTGCAAACATTTAATTAGAAAGAAGACAAGTGGGGAAAAAAAAGTCCTAATGCTTAGTGTTTATTATGAAAGTGTTTTCAAATCTAAATTCACAATATTGATTGATTGATTCCAAGTATTCCAGAAGAATGGTTATTTTTATATTTACAACAAAAAGGAGAAAGAAGCAAAATCCAAGGCTATACATATTGTTCTTTTTTTTCTTTTTTGACCATGGAATATGCCAGTTAAGTTCTGATAGTTCTACGAATTTCTCAGACTGTTCGATTGTCTTGAAATCTCAGGGGGAAAAATTACCGCTTTTGGTCCTGAGCTGACCTACTGAAAAGGCACAGGGCACAAAAATGGTGTTATCTTTTGGGGTACGTTGCATTTCCCGACGCCCATCTGTTGTAGCCCTCCATCATATCTGATTGCCTTAAATCAAACTTTGTTTTGATCTGATTGTCATTACCATCTGGTTATGATCACCTTATTGTATCATTAATGTGCAAGGCTAAAGCGAAGGTTGAAATAAATACTACCAACATTAAAAGAAAGGGAAGCTACTTCCTAAGTATGTAAAGCTGAGCCAGGCACTTGATTTTCATTTCAGTTAAAAACATGCTGTGATGGAACCTACATAAAGGAAGTTCCTCCAACAACTCAAGATAAATTCTGAAAGAGAGAAACTAAAATTGGGCAGTTTAGCAGCAGCATCCCATTTGTCCAAGGAAGACTCTTGTAGTATAATAAGAGCCCTTTTGATTGTTTCTGATTTCCAGACGGCTGGATTTTGAACACTTTGGTCATTCCCACAGTAACATGCAGAACTTTCAATTTATGAGAATTCAGGAATACACAGAACATATAACGGCAAACAATAATGAAATAATTAAAATATTAATAACAAGAGAGAAGAAACTATTCCATCCGCTTCTTACAGAAAACTAAAGTTTATGTTGTGGTGAATATATGTGTGTACATATGTATATGTATATATGCTTGCACACACACCTATTACTTTGTGGTGAAAAGAATGCACATTAATAGCCCTAAATGCCAAATTCTGGCCTGTATTGTTAAAGTGATGACAGACTGTATAATTGACCTGAACCATTCATTAGCATACTGTGTAACCCATATCTTTTTATATATAGTGTAAGACAAGCTAAAGAAACTGGCATTCAGTTACATAACAATATGCCCATCATTCATGGGAAACTATAGCATTCATAAAGCACACAAACACGCTCAGTTCCAGTTGTGGAATATCTGGAACAAAAGCATAGCTTCACAGGCCATCAGTCTGAAGAAGGGCCTCCAGGTTCACTCCCAGAAATGTATTTGAAAATATGTGAAAATGGTCGGTTAATCTCCTTCTCTAATAATCCCAACTGAAGGTTTTATTCTGCTAAAAGACGAAAGAGACCTACCTCCATATATCAGATATAAGGAAGAAGCCTGCTTCAACATGTGAGAGGAGTAGAGAGGAAAACACATACAAATGCTTCTCAGAAGAATGGCTCATAGCTTGATCTCATTAGCAACTACTATCCAATATTTTCTCCTTAAACAAAATGGGGAGTATTTCACAAAAGAATGTGTGTGTGTGTGTGCGTGTTTTATAGGATGTGCAAGGAAGAGAGAGGAAGTGAATTCTGGAATGTATGCACTTTCCCCTCCATTGTATATAAATTTTCAGTATGAATCAATGCGTGTGATTAAGCTCCAACTAAGGGTACTATTTAAAAACAGAAATTTGGGGTGAGGGGGGTAGGAGAGGAAAGGAGCAAGTTGTCTGTGTAAGGGCTGAATTACAAGATGAGCGCAAAGATAGTCACATTGAAGTTTCTGACCCAGACTTCTATGTTGGGTCTCAGGTAAACCAGTCCTACAGGAAATGGCAATCTGCATCAAAGAGGCAACGAATGAGAAATCCACTGAGCCAACTCAAAAATGACAACAGATACGTGTATTATTTCTTTTTGGCATTTTTAATCTGGCACTCTACAGTTTGGATTGAAACTGCAGGTTAGGTGTCACACTTCCAACTTAACTGGATGTATACCAAAGAGACTTTTGCCTTCAGACGTGTAGCCAATCTTTTTCTTTTCTTTCTTTTTTTAAAAAACACACTGTTACTTATTTTAGTGCGTTCCATTGTTATTTGATAACAGAATAAATGCACACAACTATAGATCTTACTTCACTACTCCAGGGCTGGCTACTAAAACATTCAGTCAATCTAAAGGCTACTAACTCCCAGAGAGTTTTCTTCAATTTTTTTTTTCCTATTCTACACACTCCACCCACAGCATTTCTTACTCTAGTGCAAAAAGGGACCAAACAGCTTTTACAAATCAGACCTTTTAAACTTTTTTTTTTTTTAAATAAAGAAGCTACGTGAGAAAATACCGTTAGAGGCAAAGGAATACCAGATGGATTCTAGGAAATCTTCCTGGGAATAATTCCTTATTTTGACTTGGACTCTTTGCAGGCACAATCAGAGGAGGACATTGAACTTACAGACATGTGAATACTATCCCCGTTTTCTTACAAGAAGGGGCATCTTTCCAGTGGAATCTTCATGGCATTAAAAGAGGCCAATTTTCCTGTGGTTTAACACTGTTTACTTATATTTTATAGCCTTAACACCCATACTATCTAACACTTTTCTAGTCGCTGAGGTGCCAACTAGTGAAGTTGAAACCCCTTTCTTTTATTTATCTAATTGCAATGTTTATATGGACATGGGATTAAGCAGGCCAACTTTCCAAATTAGTGTTTGCTTTCAATATTATCTAACTGAAAGAACATCAAACACACATTTATTTCAACCACCTCACTTTATCAAAACTCAGGTTCTGTTCTTTGTGTGGCCCTTGTAATCAATCGGCTTAAAAGACATCAGCCTAGCATCAAAGAGTTGAGCTTGAATCAAAGGGTGACAGCTTTGGAATGACAATATAGAAATAAAAATAGAAACTCTGGTACCAATTAAATTTTAACAGATATCCAGAAGAGTATGAATACTGATTCACAACTCCTGTTAATTTCCCCTTTCTTAAACTCTTGTTGAGTGCAGGGCTATTGATGGATTACGTAGAAAACATAACGGGACGTTTTCCATATTTGCATTTCAAGAGATTTTTAATCACAGAAGTAACTGGTTTTTTTTTCTTTTTGCCAATGTATTTGCACAGAATAGTCAAGTGCCCAGAGACCAGCTCAAGACTTAAGATACTTTGGGGGATCTTGTGCAACAAATCAAACATCTGGAAGATTGAGACCGGCATATCTACATCCATTGGGAAAACAGAAAATACCAAGAAACAGTCGTACAAACTCTTTCTTCATATAAATGGTAATCAGAGCAGCTAATTATTTTGTCTTCTTTTTACCTCAAAGCTCTTCCCATATAATAAAGCCGGATAAAATGCTATTCAACTTTTCTCAAGCTGTAGATATGCAGCAGCAAAAAACAAAACAAAAAAACCCCATAAAACAGACCACCTTCCCAAACTGGTTTACAATTAATTTCCGGCTCATTTAAACTAAAAGCAAGTGCCTCTTAAGCAGGAGGTTTTGGTAAGATAATATCCATTTGAATGAGCCACTCGTCTTGTCACCCCAACAGTAAATGTAAAAATTGGGCCTTTGACTATGATCCATCAAAACTAGCCCTGTGGATAATTCAGTCTCTCTTCTACATCATGCCTCTAGAGCCCACATTATTCCTAGAAAGACATTCTTCCCAGTTTCTGTTCTTTCCTTTGTGCTAGATCGTTCAGTACTAACTTTGGCGCGTGTGACTTTTGGGCCAAGCAAATGTATATCTTCTAAAATAGCTTTTAAAAAGCATTGACGTGAAATTCAAACCATTTGTTCCAGATGTGGCCTGTGTAACTAACTGGCAAAGTGGATTCCCCACTCTTACTCACAGCAGCCCATGAGCCCTCCCAAAATAGGCTACCAAGATGGTTGGGGGTATCCTTGATCGATAGACTACTGAAAGTCCTGGTGGAGCTGAAACTAGGTATCTCCAAACTTTGGGTGGAAGTCCTATTTGTGAGTGCATTTCTGCTTAGAAAAGAAAGAAAGAAATCCCTCTCCCCCATTTCCCTGACTATCAAGGTCTCTAACCCTCAGATATTTTTCCTATAATACAGCTATAAAGATAATTGGGGCTGACTGCTCTCTCTTTTGCAACACAGAAAGCTCTAGAAGAGCCTGATTTAGACTTCACTCTCCTGCAAAGGTTTGTATAAAAATAATAATAATAATAACAGGAATGCATGTGGGATACAATCCTCCTGACTTATCTGCAGTGGTACCGATTCTACCTGTGCCATGTATGTGTAGTTTTTGCTTCAGCTAAATAAATATATAAATAAAAGTAAAGCTGGAAAAGGAATGACAGGCTCCCAGCCAAATCTGGACTGACTGGAAGGACTAGAAACGAAAGAACCCTGGACCGATTGATAATTGATTGAATCATCCCAGCTCAGGTGTTGCTGATGCACAAGATGAGGCACTGGGATGGTTTGGTCAGACTCTACACAGCATTTTGGAACAGCTGGAATGGCTACTCAGGGAAGGAAATGAATATTGTAAATAACAAGAAAGTAAAAGCAAGAAATAAATATTATAATTATTATAAGCTAGTCCTTATACCAGTTCAATTGCACATGCTTGAAAAATGGATCCAAACAGAACATTTGAGGTAATCTGCAAGATAGGAACCTATGCTGAAGATGAGTTAGTTCATTTGGCTGGAAGCCAAATTAAATTTGCCACTAAGTTCGGGTGGGGGTGGGAGGTTAAAGCAATTTAAAAACGTGTTCTTATAGCATGTATAGTGAACAAAAATGAATGTTCAAACTGACTCTGTTATATAAACTATCAAGATAACATTTTAAAATGGGGGGAAATGACAACTGCGATTGTACCAGCAAGTTCTAAAGTCAGCAGCTTTCAGCAAAAAGAAACCTCCCTCTCTTTAAAAAAAACAACAACCTAGAAAGAGTCATAAGCTTGTGTGATTTTTGTAATAAGAGAAATCTTAGCAGGCGACTACAATATCAGAATACTGGCTAGAGAAACCAAGCACAAAAAACCCTCTATATTTAACCCAGCAATCTTTAACCCCAATGAAGTCCAAAAGAGAATCTTGAGGAAGTTTTTCTGTTTCATTTGGAAGTCATCTCAAAGTAAGATATAAAATATATAATGCGCAAAAATCTACTGAAGAAAATACTGCTCCCTGGTCAGAGATATATAGATAAATAGATAGATACAGCATGCCTTCATACAGAAAATCATGTGGCGCTGTCATTTACAAACAGGAAATAAAGCAGTGTGGTATTAGAAGCTTTAAATATTCCAAGTGTGTGTAGATAATTTTTCTGAGATTCAAACCCCCACACACACAAAAAAAAAAGAAGGAAAGAAGAACAGAGAGAGAGAACAAAATCAAATCAAATCCTGCATCCACAACTTATTTGTTTTCTGTAGCAAACAGTTCACGTAGCAGTGTATACTCCAAGGATTAATATTCCTCTGCAGAGTTGCTACCAGTGAGATACCCGTTTGTTCCATTTGTCCCATTGATGGTAGCTGAGCTGTGGGAGGTCCTTGACTGAAGAGTGGAGGTTTCCTCATCTGAACTGGACTCAACATCACTTCGGTCATCTTTTGTCTGCAAAAGATGTTAAGGAAAGGGGAAGCGGGGAGAGGAGAAGGAAACCTCATTGGTATCAGTTGCATAAGAGAAAGGAGATTGGCTCTATGTTCTGTTGTTTTTTATTTGTTCGTTAAATCTGTGACCTTGCCAACTATCAAAGTTTCTTGGCAGTTTCTCTGCCCCCATTCAAAGTTAAACTGGAAGTTAAGATACTTCCAGTTGCACCTTAACTATATGCTTCTAAAGTGCTAAACCAGAGAATTTGAGGGACCCGTGGATCAAACCAGTAGGTGCTGGGTGAGGACCCGCTTCTGTGCTTTGCACCAGAAAGGACACTTAGTTGAGAAGAGCTTAATCCTTTCCCCTTTCCCTGCTACCTTACCATCTGCATCTGATCAGTTCAGGCTTTTTCCCTCTCCCAGCCCATCTTACATCTGGTACTAGAGCTAGGCTGGGAGGAAAAAGGGCACTTTATAGAGTTCAAGTTCAAGTTGGACAGCAGACTGATCCATTTGTTAGACTTGAGAACTAGGTTAGACTCATGCACCAGGTTTTGCACTATTGCATATACGCCCAGTGGGACAGACAAAATAGACAGACAGACAGACAGACAGATGAAAGAGGGAGGGAGGGAGGCTGGATACCTCTGGTTTCATCCTTTCTGCCATTTGCTGCCTTCTAACCTCACCTTTTAAACTTCTGTATTGCGGTCCTCCCTCCCTTCCACAATGTCTCCCAGAATCTCTTCAAGATATACTTGTCTCAACTTCTGTTGCATCTAAAGCGGGGCTATCAAACTCCCGGCCCAAGGGCCAGATGCGTCACGCACTGGCCACGCCCACGCCCAGTTTAGCAAAGGGGAAAAAAAAGTCCCGATACGTCACGTGACACTGCTGTGATGACATGAGTTTGACACTCTGATCTAAAGCAAGCTTCAGCATTATTATATTCCTATCACTCTGAATGTCCCTTGTCAATAAAGCTAATGTAGTCTGGCGCCCGCTTTGAGGAAGGAATGGCAGATAATCAGAAAATCTGATCCATTAATCTACGGCTTAAGCTTTCATTTTTTCTTCCTCTCCATATAAACAAGGAGAGGAACAGCAATAAGGGCATATTATCACTTCTTGCAAAACTACACTAGTATATTGAAAGCTTATACCAGCTATTCGTCTTGAGGTTGTTATTGCTTACGCCACTAGATTTGCCAAAATAGCCGTAAGAGATTCCAGCTGACAATTTTAATTACACATTTTTTTGTCTAGAGTTCCCATAGGTAATTACATTTTTGACAAACCAAGCCACTTAATTGGTAATATCTCTAGTAAAGATATCAACAGTAAAAAAAAAAAAAAAAGTTTGGATAGCGAGGAAATGTTGGCCTTAATAAACAACACACAACATAGGAAGCTACCAGTCATGGCTTCAAACTGGATTATGGAAACCAAAACCCAACAAAACAAACCACTTGCTATAATAATAATAATAATAATAATAATAATAATAATAATAATAATAATAATAGTAATAGTAGTAATAGTAATAGTAATAGTAATATTAATAATAAAAAAGCAGGATTTGGGATTACAGAAAGCATGCAATCGTGCTTTTGACTGATCAGAAGAGAGATCAGTACTGGAAGCCATGTCTGTAGTGGCAGTCAAGATAAGCAGGAGAAGGCGTGTGCCAAGAAGCAGCAGCAAAGAAAGTATGGCAGCTGAGAAGGGCAGGAACAGCTAGTGAGCCATTGATTTAAGATGGGCAATTTGTAATCCAACAATCAAATTGTAATCCCATATGTGGCTCCCAAATTCTTATTTTTAGGGTAGTTCCCAGAGCGACCTCTAATCTTGACTCTGAATGGTACACTCTCCCAAAATTAGCAGTTGCCTGCCATATTGAGGTGGAAAATGTGAAGGCCACACTTTTAAGAGCTTATATAATCTGAACGTAGTTAGTCGGAGAAAATACATTGTAGAGAAATGGGGAGAAATCATGTAAACTTGCAGCTGTATTCTTAATCTCATTCTGTTTACTCCTGTCTCTCAGCTTTCCCCCAAATCCCACTACCAAAAAGTTCCCTACTCCTGCATCAATGAGTGCTCAATATACTATGAATTAATGTGCTATATAATAAAATCCCCGATCGTGAATTGCATTTGGCATAACAGCAGGCAGTAAATTTTGAGCAGAAGAAAAAAAACACACACCTACTAAACAGAAAAAGGAGCCTCAGAAAAAGGCCAAGCAGTATCAAAAGTGACAAGAGATGGAGGGTTGAGTGAACCTGCAAGGGTGTGAATTTGATGCATGTAATGAATTTTAGCACCGCATAAGAAAGGAACTCTAGCATCTAAAGCCTCTGAAGTCTTGCTGGATGTCCACAGGACACCTATTATTTCAAGGCCAAACAGACAGATTGTTTAAGTCATGTATATTGAATTCAAATGTAGGATGTAAACCACTGACAAAGCAGAAATAAAATTCTCTGCTGTTTACTGTTCTTACAGTCACCAGACCAAAGGAAATAAATAGCCCTATCTAGTAACATTCCATAAAATTTTCACAGGAACCTTGTGGGCCATTGCAATTATTTTTAATTGCCTCTCCTGTAAATTAATGGCAGGATAGAAATGATAAGCTCAGCTGGGGGCAACGCTAGAAAAATTTCCCTTTTTCATATTTAAATGTTTCCATTCTGAAAAGGTCTGCAGAACAGGAGGTCAAGAGAAGAGTCAAATAGCTTCATATTTTCATTCTGTCTAGGAATATGCTAAATAATTGTTAGCTCTAGTATGATGTCAAGCTCGGTCAACAAGCCAGTTGGTCAATTCATGTTGCATCCAATGGATCAACACTCAGCTGATTTGGGGGGGAAAAGGTGGATGCTGCCCTTTTGGGAAAACCCTAAGGAAGAAAACAAAAACAAATTGCTGGCTCCAGAGCTGCAAAGAGCATGCAATCTTTAGCAAAGTGAATATTCAGCTGAACAATTAAAGGAAACAGAAAAGAAAGGAGAGAAGCGGCAAGCCCACAGAAAGAGATACTGTGCTGTGTTTTTCCTATCAGAGAAACTTACATGCAAAGGATTCCACTTCCCAGCCTTCAGAGGCAGCAGAAAGGAAATTATTAAGAAGGTTTAGAAAGAAGACACATGCAGTTTTCCCATGAAACAAGAGGCTGCCTACCAGAACACCAATTAAATACCTTCCAGTATGCAGCTCAATCTGGAAGACACAGAAACTGCACAGAACTCCAGCTATCAGTCTAAAGATGAGATGCCTGGGTAGATTTGTGGTTTCACATTCTGCAACTGCTCAGGGCTGTTTTGCATATTGCCTTTTTAATGTTATTTATTTATTTGTTTGTTTGTATGCATGTATGTATTATATTCTCCACACATATTTTTTTTAAAGTAAAATACACTGCAAGAAAACGTTTGTAATTGCACAAGTGCTTTCAGAAGGATTGAAAATACCCCTGAGAAGTGTACACACTCACAGGTAGAGAGATTCTTCTAGTCCTAAAAAAACAGACCTTTGCTCTGGTGATGAACTAAGCACAAAACTTCAACAATAAACACTTGAACCAGAATAATATATTCAATCTAATACTCAAATAATAAATACGTATTCAGATGGTCAAAAATAAATATTTCAGGCTCACAGTGGCTAAACCACATGCAAATGTGCTTAGCCAGGGTTCACTGAATAAACCACGGTTGGCTGAGTTAGCAAAATAGTCTAAACTATTTCCGGAAAACCAGGCTGTAGAGAAGTGCAAAAGGCTGTTTCACCTTCTACTGCAATTAGGCAGTTTGGAGGAGCTGTTCAAAATGATCTTTCCACTGGAAACTAGAATTTAGTTCAGAAATCAGGTAGATAAATAGGAAAAAAAATACAGACAACCTAAAATGAATTTCCATATGTATAGAGCTCAAATTTCAGCCTTTGAACCTTTCAGAGTGTGAGATACCCACCTACAGTTTCTATTTTGAGGTAAAATAGTGCTGAGTGATTCTTTGGAGAACCACAATTTGCTAGCTGTGATAGTTGAATTCACATAATGTACTAAGATATAGATATAACAAAAACTGAGCTTATATTTATTGGAAGAACTGAGCTTATGTTTATTGTGAGTCTCTTTAGCAACATATTTAAAGTCAAAAATCCTAACAAAACTACCCTAACAATCCTAACAGACTTTCACTGCCAAAAAAGTCAATAAAGCATGCAAGAATATTTACTGGAAAAGTAGATGATGAAAAGACATCAAGAAAAAAACATCCCCATTGATCTTACCTTGCCTTTCAAAATAGCTTTATAGGCTGCCTTTATTATTAAATAGGACCAAAAGCAGTGGAGAATTTGAAGTATCGAAAGTAAAATGATAAAAATTGATAAACCGGGAAAACCACCAACAATTTCAGGCAGTTCGAAGAATACGGTATTCAGTATCCTGAAAGAAACGGGGAGGAATGAGATGTACACTCATGAGAAATAGATCATTTACCAACCACTTTATCACAGAAATATTTAGCAGTCAAGCTGGTAGCAAGGGAGATTTCACACAGCTTCTATGAACTTAGAGATGAAACTGTCAAATATTACTTTTATATTCTTGCAGAATTTACACATTTGATTCACAGAGGACTAGTTTATTCCTATTTGTCTAATCCCCATTTCCTCCTTTTAAAAAAAAAATTTTTTTTACATTTATATCCCGCTTTTGCTCCACCTATTTTGAGAACCCTCTACAGAATCATACCCATTTCTGTTGAGTTTGCTGTCCTAGAATTACTTCCATGTAGACGCTTGATTGACTTCTATTAAAATGCTGGTTGATAATCTATATTTATACCATATTCTATTTCACAACAATATCTTTAAAGAAGAAACAGAAGATTAAAAAGCAAAACATAATGTGTGACAATAAGATAATTTTTTAAAATAAACTACCCCAAACTAAAATATATGCCTGAAGTTTAAAGTCATGCCACATTCACGATCAATTATTTAAAGAAGAGAAACAATACAGGCTGTAGTAGCACGAGTCCAAAAGCTCAGAAGAGTAAACCTTTGGTCCCAGTGACCAATCCAGATTGGATCTTGCAACGTTATCCTCGGACCTGTATATTCGCCTTCATTCATGGAAAAAAACAACTACCAACCAAATCAAAAGTATGGTTCATTTAGCACCCTAGTCTAAGTATCAGAGGGAACAATGAGGTCTCTGATGTCTTCTATAAATGGTCAAAAGAGTCAAACTTATCCTCTTGGGAGGATGGTGTTCCAAAGGATAGGTGTTATGACAGAGAAATCATGACAATAAACAGAAGGGACACAGAGCATGCCTACTCTGTTGGTTCTGGTGGGAGATAAGCACAAACAACTGCCTACAAGTAATGCAACAAGTAACTTCCTGCCAAATGTTGTCCTATTTTGCTTTAGAGACTTGTTTTATTTTGCAACCATTCTTCAGTGGGACTACAGTGAGAATTTTGTCTGTATGTAGAAAGACATGTCTTATCTTGAGGGTGGATATTTTTAAAGGTATGGTTGAATTTTAGATTTCTTTTTAAGAAATACATCAAACAAAAAATAAATATGGCATGAAATGCTAAGTCGGGGTGTCAAACTCAAGGCCCGGGGCTGGATCTGGCCCCCGGGGTGCTTAGATCTGGCCTGCGGGGCTGCCCTGGAAATAGCGGACTGGCCTGCAGTGCCTTTGCCAGTGAAAACAGAGCTCAGGAGGGCCACCCGCAGACCTCCTGAGCTCTGTTTTCACTGGCAGAGGGTTGCAGAAAGCCGGCGCAGCCAAAAATGGAGCTTGGGAACCTGTTTCTACTGGCAGAGTACTCAGGCCACCACTGGCACCCTCGACATGAGTGATGTCAAGATGGCCATGCCCATCCTGGCCTCCTAGGTTAAACACAACCCTGATGCAGCCCTCAATGAAATCAAGTTTGACTCCCCTATGCTAAGTGATATTTATTTCATTAGTCTTGCAGGATTATTCATTGTGTATCAACTTTTTTTTCCCTTCCAAGGAAACATGATAATAGACCAAATATAACCACCAGGTGGCATCTTTGGCAAGTTAGCTTCAGTAGTCCATATTATGATTTTTATTTTAGGGGAAAGTTCTGCAACAACCAAGAAATTTGAAGCATCAATTTGCTTATATTTGCAATTCAATGTTTGTGAGGAAACAAAATCTGACATTGCATGGAAAAGTGGAGATTAAACTTTATACAGGATGTGACTGAAGATTCTAAAGGTGAGAGACACAAATGGGAGACACATCAGTAGAGTCCAGAGACAAGGAGGATGAATGAATTTCATTCATGAATTGGAATGAAATTTGAAGCAAGGAGAGAGATAATCTTACAGAATGATCTTGAATGTTCTGGACTTAAACCAAGGAGCTGCTATTCTCTGAGAAAGAGAGAAAGAGAAAGGAATGTTTTCAAAAGGATGGTTAAATGAAGCCTGATTAAATGGGTCAGATTTTTCCCATTGTGGTATCTTCTTCATGATTCTCGATTCCAATGTCTTTAATTCTAGTCAACACGGCTGGAAATGGAAGACTCAGAAGTTTAAAGAGAAATCATTGAATTAGGCAGTGGCCTAGAGTATACCATAATGAGAAAAGATGATGCAGACAGAAGATGAAAGGGAGCAAAAGGAATTGCTAGGTTCTACAATTACTAATTGTTATGAATTAGAGATCATGGTTTTTCCTCAACGCACTAACTTCCATCAATGTAATTAAAAGGAAAATGTATCATCCACAGTCTTAAAAGACTTAATATTTTCAATGGTCTATGCAAACCTTTCAAATTTCTCAAATGAAAAAGGGCGTTGGTACTTACCTGATACACCCGTTCTCTGTGAGCTGTGAAGAGCATCCAGAAGTGGGAGGTGCTTCAGTCTCTTCTGGAAAGGCTGGGCTTAAAATTCCGGGACGCTCCTCCTCCTCCACAGGACACCTCCCCAGCGTCCCCCAGTTTTGCAAAGACTGAGTGCCAAAGTCCGGAACTTATCACCTAATCTAGATCCCTGACCGGAACGGAACCCCACCAGACAGAAAGAAATGGGTGGGGTTGGATGCTCTTCACAGCTCAGAGAGAGCGGGCGTATCAGGTAAGTACCAACGCCCTTTCTCCCATGAGCTGTTCAGAGCATTCAGAAGTGGGACATACCAAAGTTTGGCCTGTCCTTAGGGAAGGACTCCGTCTGGGTTGAAAGCCACTCCTAAACTCTGTGGACCCTCTGCAGGACTTTCTGCCAAATGAAGCGTCCGCTGAGGCATAGGCATCAATTTTATAATTTCTGACAAAGGGCGATGGTGAAGACCAAGTTGCCGCTCTGCAAATTTCGTCTATGGAAGCCCGTGTGGCCCATGCTGCTGATGTTGCTGCACTCCTTGTTGAGTGTAATGCCCTTAGGAACTGAGATGGACTGGCATTCGTAAGTTTTAGCTATGATGGCTCTCAACCATCTACCGATGGTCGTCGACGACACCTTGTGTCCTAAAGTGGATGGGTTGAAGGATAGGAATAGAGCCTCAGATTTTCGAAATGCCGCTGTGCGGTCTAGATAGATGCTTGATGCCCTTCGAACGTCAAGTCGCTGCCATTGATGCTCCAGTCTATGAGCTGGTTTCAGACAAAAATTTGGAAGCACCAACTCCTGCGCTCTGTGGAAGACTGAATTTACTTTAGGGGTGAACGATGGATCCAATCTGAGAACTACTCTGTCTGCATGAAACACGCACAGGTCCTTTCTCATCGACAATGCTGCCAATTCGGAAATCCTCCTTGCTGATGTGATCGCAATTAAGAAGACCACCTTATATATCAGGAATTTGAGACTAGAGGTTCTTAAAGGCTCGAACGGGCCAGTTGTAAGTGCGATTAACACCTTGTTGAGCTCCCAAGTGGGATAGCGGTGAATTACAGGAGGTCATAAGTTTGCAGCACCCTTAAGAAAGCTGTGGACATGTGGATGGTGCGCTATGGAATGAAGGTCACCCCAGGATATCACCGGGGATAAGGCCGCCACCTGTCTGCGTAAAGTATTTGGAGATAGGCCCTTGGTCAACCCCTCCTGTAAAAAGTCCAATAATTGTCCTATTGATGGGGCAGTTGGGTCGATCTTAGACCCCCCGCACCAGTGACAGAAAGCAGACCACGTGGCCTTGTATATACGATTTGTTGAGGACCGTCTGGATGCTTGTATGGTGGCAATGGCATCCTCTGAAATCTGTTGGGTCCTTAAACAACTCCGCTCAACCTCCATACGGCTAGGCTGAGCCATTGTGGGTCTGGGTGAAGTACCGGCCCTTGCGAGAGGGAAACCCTCGACAGTGGAATTTTCCAAGGTTGTTCTCTCGACAGGTCCTGTAAGCCTCATTGGGAAAGGTTGAAGAAGAGGCCACTGCCACAATGGGCTCATCCACCTCCGGCATTTTGAGAAAATTTGAAAACTCTGGTGCCAAATTATAATATCGTTTATCGTACCCTGTTGGGGCTGGGTAGGATGCTGCTGATGCCCATTGATTTTGTACTAATTCAGCAAACATATGAGGGACAGGAATAGTTTCTGCCTCATTAGCCGGTTGTGAGAATATTAAATCCTCGGATTTGTCCTGAGACCCTGTTGACAATGGATGAGGGCTTGATGTGTCTAGTTTAGCTGTATTCTTTGCTTTGATTTAAAGAGGTGCGGACGAAAAAGGCCAGAAAAGGTAGGTTGGTCCGGAATGAGGCCTTCGTCATCCAACATTCCTCATTCTAGGAATGGTCAGCCTCTGACACCCCAAGTCCATCTGATGGATCGACCCCACCTCCATGGGAACATCCTGGTCATCTAATTCCACCTCCTCCCAAAGACCCCGGACTGGTATGTCAGGAATATTGGGGAATACCTGAGTTTGATGATGTCCCATATGCACAAAGGATTGAACAGACAGGGATCCCGCTTCCGAAGTAGCCGAAAAGTGTCTGGTCTGGATGGATTGCTGAACTCCAGCCGCAATGCCCTTTTGTATGGCCATCTCCATCCATTGCCTCATTTCGATGGGAATAGTCTCAGGTAATCCCTCCTCCTGTCTTAAACCGGCGGTCGTAGAGGTGAAGATTGCCTCTGGGATTCGCCGGGCAATGCTCATTGGAGGAGATATGCCTATGGGAGGCTGTCCAGAAATAGCCTGTCTGGGCTGGGTGGATAAGTCCAAGGGCCCCAACAATGTACTTGGGCCCTGATCTGATTGTTGTGTCATAGCCATTTTGTCCGCCTCCCTGGCCCGTTTCTGCAACTGCCTTTCCAAGGCTTGGTGCCATCTATGGGCATCCTTATTCGCTGCCTTAGAGGCCTTTTTGGGCCCACTGACTTATCTTGGGACTTATCTGTCTTGGAGCGGAAGATGTTGTCACCTTCCATTGTGGAGGACTG